AACTTTCCCCAACACTGCTAGTGACGACTGTGAATGAAAGTTGAGCGAGCGCTCTGACGGACAGGCCAGGTGCGGGTCCTTCCAGCCATTGTCTCCGGCTTTTATATTAATTACATCTTGCATTATCAGCGTTGAGTCCGTGACCCTGTGCGCCCGGTGAAAGGTGGCCCCCGGAGACACGGCGACCCTCTATCTTATTCTGTATCTGCTCTATTGTGCCGGGGCTGTGTTTGCGGCCTGGTAACGGCGCTCTTTAACACAATTAGAGCAGAGCACGCAGTGGCTGCGTTTGACTCCTAATTATCCGCAGCGATGGGGAATAGTCACATGCTCGCTGCTTTCTTTCCTGGGTGGGGTGGAGGCTCTCTCAGCCGTTTGGGTCACACGATGTCTCTCACTCGCTTTCTTTACAGCTTGTTTGAACTTTAATGGACTCTTGGGAGTCCTGACAACTGTTTTGTTGTGATGTGAGGCCTGAGAGAGAGAGAGGGGCGGCTGCATTATTCATAAGTGGGGAAAGGGCTGTTGCTTTTTTGCTGCCGAGTGGCGTGAGGAAACTGGATATCAGCTGCAGAACTCTGGGAAGCTCGCAGGGAAACATGTAGCCGTCAGCATTTACGGACCTGCGGCTGTGTTCGAGTGGAGCTACAGGAGCGCGTGTGTGTTTTTAGGCGTCTCGGCTACGGGAAACAGAACCCAGTCATTTTCATGGCTTGGAACAACACAAGCTCGAGACGGCTGTTTTTCCTTCCACTCTTCTCTAAAGACGTGCTGTGAATGTTCTGACGGAGCCTACGTCATTTTCGCTGCGGTCATACGAAACAATTACATGAACAACAGCTGATATTCATCTCAGATAAATATGGCCCAATCCACACACAGTTTGGGAAATGTTATTAAAAATGGCATAAATCATATACCCTCCGTGATCTTTTGGAATAAAATAGTTTGATGTAATATGAAAACATACTTCTGATGAATTCCAGCAGCTCAAATGTATTTTCAAGAGTCTGCTCTGAACAGTTTGAGCAGCACAGATTGTTTGTGATGCTGCTTCACACCAAGAACAATAACTACAACTATTACGACAATTATGTTAGTGTCCACACTAACGAACAATATATTTCTGTTTTAACGATCACTGCAGTTTTGTCGTCCGCCGCTTTAAATGCTCAGTTTATTTAAATTCAGATGGATTCTGATTGGCTGTTAGTGTTTTTGTCTTTCATCAGCTGGGGAAAAAAGAGCATTCTGATTGTGTTTCCAATGATAATCGTTAACGTTATAGTTGTGGTGTGGACTTTCCTGTTCTCATAGAATTGGAAGGATAATTAAAGCTTTATAGTTATCATTATAGTTAACATCCTTGGTGTGAACAGGCCTTTATTGAAGGATATTGTAGGAAGAACTAGATTGAGAGTAACCATTATCACTTGTTTCATATGCTAAGACTGGACTAGCATAATACTAAATCATTTATAATAATATAATTTATTATAATTATAGTTTATATTAAATAAAATAACTGTTATGTCTGTGGTAGAGCTTTATGAGTGTTACTGTGTCTGTAGACTATGTGGATTGACTCGGTTCTAGTGTAGTGAACTAACAGCATTAACAGCAGACATACACCTCTGAGACTCATAAGAACACTTAAGTCTGTGTGTGTGTGTGTGTGTGTGTGTGTGTGTGTGTGTGTGCGTGTGTGTGTGTGTGTGCCCTCTTACACACGACAAACGGCCCACCGCTCTGTATGTGTGTGTGTGTGTCAGATTAGATACTGTGTTTGCTGTATGTGACAGTGGAAATTATGAATTGCTGCTCAAAACACAGACATTTAAGTTGAGTGTTAGAATTCAGCCAAGTTTGCATCATTCCACATTTGTTTCTTCTGAGGAACACAACAGAACATGTTATGCAGAATGTCCAAGTTGCTCTTTTCCATATAATGAAAGTCAATGAGGGAGGATCATAGCAGTCGTCCAAAATATTGTCCTATCCTATCAAACCATACATCAATGGAAAGCTTATTGTGTGTGTGTTGCTGCACATACTCGATTGCTCTCAGATTAAGACTTGAGCTTTGTCTCTAATGAACTTACAGCAAATGCTCGCTTCGGTGATGTTAAATAATATTTTTGACTTCAGTAAAACTAGCTAATTTTTAGGGTACAGTTTATCACAGCGTATGCAGGTGACTCACTGACTGTGTGAGGTGGGATTGTAAAGTCTTTTTCTCACTAGAGTGGTAAAGGAAATTCCTCCTCTTGCTCGTCTATGTGTAACACAGATAAAGCTCTTCCTGTACAGTACAAATCCTGTTTCCCCCGCGGCCCGATCGGACCCTGAGAAACCTCAGGAAGGGTGAGGAGGAGATGCCCTCTTACACACGACAAACGGCCCACCGCTCTGTATGTGTGTGTGTGTGTCAGATTAGATACTGTGTTTGCTGTATGTGACAGTGGAAATTATGAATTGCTGCTCAAAACACAGACATTTAAGTTGAGTGTTAGAATTCAGCCAAGTTTGCATCATTCCACATTTGTTTCTTCTGAGGAACACAACAGAACATGTTATGCAGAATGTCCAAGTTGCTCTTTTCCATATAATGAAAGTCAATGAGGGAGGATCATAGCAGTCGTCCAAAATATTGTCCTATCCTATCAAACCATACATCAATGGAAAGCTTATTTATTCAGCTATATTTATTATGCATACATCTCAATTTCAAAAAATTGACCCTTATGACTGGTTTTGTGGTCCAGGGTTACATATTACCGTCCAGTTCTTCTAAATGTGACGACAAGGCATGAAGATATTATAAACATTAACGGATGATCTGTAAAGCTGCATTGATGTAATGAGTATCATGAAATGTGCGATACAAATAACATTTACTTGGTGTTTAGATGTGCATCTAAATCTTTAGGATGGTGAAGGGTTTGTTGGTCTGTGTTTACTGTCCAGCTCATTCACGAGTCCTCTCTTTCTCTTTGTGCTGTGGATGGGGAAAACGGACGGATGGTTCCGCTCTGGCCGTCTCAAGAACCCAGCGTCCTGGAGAGATCACGATGATGCCACGTCCACACACTCGGCCGGCACGCCGGGACCCTCCAGCGGAGGACACGCATCACAGAGCGGAGACAACAGCAGCGAACAAGGTGAGTCCTGTGATGTACCTGTGCTTTCATCATGCTACTGAACCATATCAGATGTGATGTAAACACTGTTTACTGCACATGCAGCCCTGACAGTGTGAACACGTGTGTGTGTGTGTGTGTGTAACCTCAATTAAGATTGTAAAACCTCACGTCAGCTACACTGTATAATACCATCCCACAGTCCCCATGAGGAAAACAGAATAATAAAGTTTTAATTAAAATGTAAAACTGCAAAATATTTTCTGTGAGGGGTAGAGTTGAGGCCCATTCACGCCAAGAACAATAACTATAACGATAGCTATATTTGCATACACATCAATGTACAAAAACGTTCTGTTTATTCTAAGCTTTCTGCAGCTTTATATCCTGTCAATGTTTTTTATCATTCATTAGCTGGAAAAAAATTGTTTCCAATGAAATCATCCCCCTGTGTCATTATCGTTACCGTTGTGGTGTGGTGTGGATTCACTATTCTCTTAAATTAAGTCAAGTCACTATTATTTATATAGCGCTTTTTACAATGCAGATTGTGTCAAAGCAGTTTTACAGTATTAAACAGGGAAATAGTGTGTCGAGATAGTGTGCCGTTCTCCTCTGGCCAGACGAGACCAGCAGTTTAATTCTAGGCTGCAACAAAGTCAGATTGAGCAGAGGAGTCATCTGGTTCCCTTGAGTTCTTAGAGTTAGAGTGATTATTAAAACTGTATAGTTATCACTGTAGTTATCATTCTTGGTGCGAACAGGCCCTTCAGGGTTAGGCGCTAAAAAATATAATTAGATCAGTATAAAAATTGTATAGCCTACTAATGATATAGCAATATACTGTATAATATATAATAGAAATATAATATAGTGTATGATCCATTGTGCATCTGTGTGTGATGAAGCAGAGGAGAGTGTTATTGATCACGCTGAAGTCATAAGTACCAGTGAGCTGTTCTCCTCGCTGCAGTTATCGACTCTCTCACACTGGATCCAGTAACGGCTGGTCGATATGGGCTAACACACTTACGGTACGGCACGCAGAACTGCCTCGAAGTGATCCGGTCGAGCCCCGGCCCAAACGAAACCAAACAGAGAGTGAGACCGGACACAGAGAGAGACGAGAGACAGGACAGAGAAAGACAGGACAGAGAGAGAAAGACAGGACAGAGAGTGATAGAACACAGAGAGAGAGAGAAGAGAGTGATAGAACAGAGAAAGAGAGAGAACAGAGAGAGAACAGTTAGAGAAAGACAGGACAGAGAGTGAGACAGTAGATAGGACAGAGAGAGATTTACTGAACTTTGAGAAAAATTTGTGCTAGCCACTCACAATGTTAGGTGTTAAACAGGTTAACTCTAAACTGACTCACTTTATCTTTTGATTTATTTTGATGGATTTTATTTTTTGTTATCTATGTTGGTTTTTTATTGTTACTTTTTTATTATATAAATAAATATATACATACATACATAAATAAATAAATATATTTAAATATTTATTTATCCTGAGGAGGCAGAGACGTGGTGCTCTGGTGCAGTAATGCAGCCGTCCTGCAGCGCGCCGTGACCTTTCACCCTGGCCAGCAGAACAGACGCCTCATTTCTCACATTCTTTCAATTATGTTCACGCTTGAAGCGCTCGCTCACTCTCAGCACCCAGTCCACATATACACATGAGACAGGACAAGCGTGAGTTCCTAAAAGAAAGATTTTGGGACAGTCCTGAAAAATGTGAGCGAGACACAGACAGGTATCAAGCTTTCTGGACTCTGGATTCTTGTGCTGGTTTGAATATACGCTTACACAGTATCGTTCTAATATACATTCGAGTGTGTGATTGTCTGTACTTCTGAGGGTCAAATGCTTTTAAATGTCCTCACAGATGTAGTGCATTGAGGACATTTGACGAGCTGCTCACTGTTTGAAGACTCCTAGATTAGTCCAGTTTCCTTCTGTTTTCTAAATTCACAATAGTATTTAAAACATTAATTGTGAAATATTTTATTGTGATTCATCAGTCTGATCAGTGTATTAGTCTGTTCATAATAACATAAATTGTAATAAACATTAACTTGAATAAAAGAAAATTTATATTTATATTAAAAATATTTTATTTCAGCTAATTCCCGAGGCAACATTTCTCATTTTTTTTTTTTTTTTTGGTTTAAGTGGAAGTACTAAAATGATTAAAATAAACAGACTTAAAACTAAAACTTAATAACATTTTTAAAAAGCAAAAACTAATAAAAATCGTTAAATGTGGTCATATTGCCCAGCCCTAAAACTGGCTCTATGCACTCAGACATTATACACACAACATCATGATTTTCTGTAAAGCTGCTTTTAAGCCATGTGTATTGTGAAAAGCGCTATACAAATACGACTTGACTTAATATCAGTCATTACAGAAGGATCCATCCGTCTCTGTCTGTGTGCAATCACTGCTAACTGACGACAGCAGCGCGTCTGTCCAGTGTTAATGAGTTAATGAAGCCATCAGACCATCGTATATCTTCACACACATGAGTGTGTTCAGTGTCATCCGGTCAAACACACTCTTTCTGTTCAACATCAGTTCACTGTGCTGGAAGCGGCTGAGAGATTTCATTTCACTGGCTGCGATGTGCGGGAATCTTCTGACATTTTCCAGAGCAGTTTTTTAGGAAAGTGAAATATTAGTTGTGCCCCTCAGGCACTGAGACCTTCCACACACACACACACACACACGCACGTGAGATTTGGGGTTTTGTGTGTCGAGTTTTTGTGGCAGTTCTGACCTCAGACTTTTTTTCTCTTCAGACAGTTCTTTTCTATAATGTTAAAATTGATACCATAGACAGAAAGACAAAAAAAAGTAAACGTTCAGACACACACAGACAGAATTTCACTAGGACCCTCGTCGTGTGTTTCTTGCACATATATGTGTGTGTAAAAAAAGTGGGGTTTTTTTTGGAGTTTGCTGGATCTCTAGATCAGCTCTTACTAAACTCAATACTGACCCACTGTCTTGCTTCACAGACAGACTGATGGAAAGCAGGGATATCTCATGGGTTGATTTGAGGCAGATCTGTGTAACTATTGATTCTTTGCAATAGAAAAATTGATCTTTAATAGTTTCTGTGCTTTGAAAGCTTTAAAGTTATCCATGTCATGTTAGAAAACATCAACAACAATCACATCTTTCCTATTTAGCATGCTTGTTCGTGAGAAGCGTTGCAGACAAATATCAAGCACAGTAAACCTCACAGATAGAAGAGAAATTAGATTAATGAAAGCAAGGGAATACCTTACATGCCTGCTCAATTCTAGCGGCTTTATTAGCACTGCGCTGGCCCTTTAAACAACGCCGCTGCTGCGCTGAGTGTTTTTTTGGGCTCTTGTTTTAGCACGCTGTGCCCGAGGGGGTCAGCCAAGAAGTCACCCTTAAGAGGTGATAATCCCATCACGCTAGTCTCCAGCGCTGTTTTCCCCGGATGGCATGAGCGGTTCTGTTCTCATGAGAGTCTGGCCCGTGTTTCTGTGCCGGCGAGGGGTGACTGAGGCCAGCGCTGTCTAAAGCAGTGCTTCTCAACCGGTGGGTTGTGACCCAAAAATGTCTGTTCTGATGGGTCTCAGACAGTAGGAATAACACAATTATAGACAAACATAGTATACTGTAAATAATCATGCATTCTGTAGTTAGAATAGCAAAACAAATAGAGGGAGGAGAAAATACTTCTAGGTTACACTTTATTTTAGTTTCTTTGTTACAATGTAATTATACATTTAATACTGAGTAATATTAATTATCTACATGTACTTACTATATGGTTAGGGTTAGGATTAGGGTTTGGTTTAAGATTACTTACATGTAATTATGCATAATAAATAGTAATTATAACTGTTGATCAGACTCTACAGACACACATTCATCTGTCATTTAGTAGTAAGCATCAGACAGATGAACATGGACAGATTGTGTGACACCCTTATCCTGAAAAACCATCAAGAAAAATACACAAGGTCAAACAAAATACAACCCAGACAATAACTACAGATTAAAACTAAAAGCCAATGTTAAGCTGATACTTACTATGGTTATGACATGTTAATTCATATTATTGGCTTCATACAGTTGGCATAAATTCCAATGCTCGATCGTAAGGATGTTTTTGTTTACATCTGTATGTTGGCTCTCATTGTTGAGAAGCACTCCTGTGCACACCTCCACTGTCAGGCCCACCTGCTCATTTTGCCTATTGAAGGTGTACTTATTTGGGCATTAACCTCTTCTCCTCCATTATATTGTGTTTGTCCAACGGGCCTTACGCCCCTCCGCTCCCTAATCCCACTCGCCTCCTCCCTCCAAACACAGAGACTGCTCGTGAAGGGCTTGCGCTCGGCGGTGTGGTCTCTGAAGCGCGTCACAGCGCCGATGCCCTACAGGTATCTCTCGAACGAGTGGGCGGATGAGAAAGAGATGCTGCCTTCCCGAGCACCGCTAACGTATTTATGCAAATCTTTTTGGGCATTATTGCAGATAAGCTCATTTTATAGTCTGATTTCCGCTCCCTCGTGTGCCATAATGAGTCGTCGAGCATGGGGGAGCGTGTCGGGGAAGAGCGCCAGTCCGTCCGTCTGTCCATCTGCGTGCAGAGCGCACCGTCCTGACGTTCCGTTCGAGGAGACAGGGATGGAGGGGTTTGACGCCGGTTAGTGCTATTACCTCTCGTTATTGGAGGCAGCCGCCTAATAATTTCTAATTACCCTAAGGAGGTATTAGGAGTGTTAGTCAGCAAGGATAATTTCTTATTTGCACGCCTGGAGCGGTGAGCTCTCTAGAAGAACGGAGGCTAATGTGCAACAAAACAAATCAACGTGCCACGCAGGGCTGCGGGCTTCAGGGAGGAGGCCGAGATAACGCTCATTATGCATCATGGTAATTCATTTAGAATGTTATCAATTTCAGAATAGAGGCCCGTACACGCACACACAAACACACATAAACCATTAAAAAAGGATGAGGAAATGAGGCTG